GAGTGAAAATTCTGTGGTACATGGTGGTACCCCAATTGGTAATACATTGGGTAATGGGTATCATAGAGTGGCCGAAGAAGATGGATTGGGAAAGGAGGAGACGAGTGAAAATTTTGTGGTACATGGTGGTACCCCAAGGCCAACGAACTCACGATTCTACCCTACTGAAGAAGAACTGGTTTCCTTCTATCTCTTCAACAAGCTCCAAGGCCAACGAACTCACGACCTCCATCGCGTCATCCCCGTCGTCCCTATCAACGATCACAGTCCTTGACACCTTCCAAGCAAATATATATATATATATATATATATATATATATATACACACACATACATATATCTGTATGTATATATTTCTTCACATTCGTGGAATCATGGGGTCTTACTTATGCTTTCTATGTGTAGAGGTAGTCGGGGAATTGTGTCGCCGGGACATCGAACAGTGGTTCTTTTTTGTGCCGAGGCAAGAAAGGGAAGCACAAGGTGGAAGGCCGAGCCGGACCACCGCTTCTGGATACTGGAAGGCCACGGGTTCACCGGCGTACGTCTACTCGTCCGATAACAAAGTCATTGGAGTGAAGAAAACAATGGTGTTCTACGAAGGGAAGTCACGAACGGTGAAAAGAACCGAGTGGAAGATGAATGAGTATCGAGCTATCGAAAAAGACATAGACAATACCAACACTTCCCCTGTTCCAAAGGTATATATATTGGAAAGTCTGTTATTTTACCTGAGTTTTACTGGATTCGTTTGGTTTGAGCTGTTTTTTTTAATTGGAGAAACGTAATTTTGCAGTTAAGACATGAGTTAGTGTATGTGGTATCGGGATGCACACGGGCATTCGATAGACGGCCACTAGGGCTAGAACCGACACCGATGATCACCTACAAAGCTAGTCAGGGTGCACCGTCTTCGCAAAATACCGTACAGACGTACAAGACCGCAAGCCCTTCCGACTGCTCAATCCCCGAAAGCTCGAACCGGATGGTTGATACGGTGGGAAACATAGGACTTGTACCTGAATGGGAATGGCAACATTTAACGGGATGAATTATAGTGATACGTCGATGAATTAACATACATCAGAAGTGATTTTTGGATCTTCTAAAAAAACAAATTCGATTTATGTCCGCCAAATCTCTTTCAACTTTAATAAAACAGATGTTAATTTTTGATCATTTTCTGGAGCAAAAAGTGATCAAATTAGTTTGGTTTTAGGTGTAAATGATTTAGAAAAACGTTTACTTTGATATTATTATTTATAAATTAATTGTAACCCTTTAATTATTTTTGTGAATTAGCACATAGTGATAGTGAAAATTCTGTGGTACATGGTGGTACCCCTAATTGGTAATACATTGGTACCTGTCGGATTAATGTTCACCGGAGGCCGGAGATCGGAGGTCGGAGTTTTTTAAAAATACCTAAAATGCCCTTTAATTATAATTTTAACTCAAATTACCATAATTACTAATTTCCTTATTTATCTGTTGATTTGTGGTTAAGATGGGTTCTCACAGTTACCACAAACAACTCAGTTCTCCCTTGAATAGGCCCCTATATATATATATATATATATATATATATATATATATATAGACTTGGGATCATGTGAGACCAAGAGTTTTTTGTAAGACCCGTAAGACCAATTATCAACTCTTGGATTAGATCTACAATCTGAACATTCATAATCACAAAATTGCCACGAGACTTCTCAATAATCATAAAATTGTCGCCGTGCAACTTTAGACCATTAGATTATAAAGTTGATCAATGAACATATATTGGTCTTACGAGTCTCACGAAAAACCTTGTTCTCACAGGAACCCATCGCGGTCTCTCTCTCTATATATACATATATATATACATATATATATATATATATATCTATATCTTAAAGCTGGTCGATTTCAGGCAGAAAATACGAACCAATAATCAAGAAACTAATTTAACACAAGACTTGGTCTTCTAATTTCCACTCAACCTCAGCTCATTGATTCTTGCCGGCTAGAATCTCCTTTAACTTGAATAACACCAAATGTAGAGCTTATATTTTATTCATTACAACTTGGAATCAGATGTCGTATTTTTTATATATAAATTCTTTCTTGTTCGAGCACATTATCGATCCATCGATAGTCTTGACAGTTTTGCTAACCATGGCTGACTTCCAAGGCTACATCCTCCTCTTTCTCATATGGCTCATCTCCACCTTCATGATCCGCTCTTTTTTCAAATCTACTCGTGCCAAACCTCATCTGCCACCCACCCCGTTTGCGCTTCCCATCATCGGACATCTCCACCTCCTTGCTCCAATCCCTCATCAAGCCTTCCATAAGCTCTCTCTCCGATACGGGCCCGTTATTCGCCTCTTTCTCGGCTCCGTGCCTTGTATCGTCGCTTGTTCACCAGAAACGGCGAAAGAATTCCTTAAAACGTACGAGAATTCGTTTCTAGATCGGCCACAAAACTCGGCTGTGGATTATTTAACTTACGGTTCAAAAGATTTCTCCTTTGCTCCTTATGGATCTTATTGGAAGTTCATGAAGAAGGTGGTTATGTCACAGCTCTTAAATGGTACAACACTTGACTTGCTCCTTCCAGTTAGGCATGAGGAGATCAACTGTTTCATCAAACTGTTATCCGAAAAGGCCAAGCTTGGGAAGGCAGTGGATCTTGATGGGGAGTTGGTGAAGCTGACGAACAATGTTATATCGAGAATGCTTATGAGCGAAAGATGTTCAGAGGCTGAAAACGAGGCCGGGGAGATGAGGAAATTGGTCACCGAGATAGCTGAGATCACAGGTAAGTTCAATCTGTCGGACTACATTTGGTTCTGTAAGAATCTCGACTTGCAGGGATTCGGGAAAAGGTTGAAGGATATTCGTACACGATTTGATGCATTGATAGAGAGGATCATGAAAGAGCATGAAGAAGCAAGAAAGCAGGAGATGGGAGAAGTTAAGGACTTGCTCCACATTTTACTAGATATTGCACAAGATGAGAGCATGGAGATAAAGTTGAGCAGAGAGAACATCAAAGCCTTCATTCTGGTAAAATTAGTACATCATATCTCGATCGTATTCAAACGAAAAACACTAAAACATCCGTCTCTTTGTCTGTCTGTCATACAGGATATATTTGCTGCAGGAACGGATACTTCAGCGATTACCACAGAATGGGCTTTAGCCGAACTCATCAACCATCCAAACATGATGAATAAATGCGTGGAAGAAATTGATCAAGTTGTGGGCAAAAACAGACTTTTACAGGAATCAGACATACCAAACCTTCCATACCTCCAAGCAATCGTTAAGGAAACCCTACGACTCCACCCCACAGGCCCAATGATTCTAAGACAATCAACAGAAGAATGCACAGTGGCTGGCTACCATATTCCAGCAAACACTACTATCTTCGTCAACGTGTGGGCTCTCGGTAGAGACCCAAACCATTGGGAAAACCCACTTGAGTTCAAGCCTGAAAGATTCGAAAAGAAGCAGTTGGATGTTAGAGGACAGCACTTTCATATGTTACCATTTGGGAGTGGGAGAAGGATGTGTCCTGGGACTTCGCTAGCGTTGAACGTGGTGCACGCAACTCTTGGTGCTATGATTCAGTGTTTCGAGTGGAAGGCTGGGAAAGATGGGAACCTTACGAGTGTTGATATGGAAGAAGGAGTTGGGATCACACTTCCTAGAGCTAACCCTTTAGTTTGTGTTCCTGTGGCTCGACTTGAACCAATCCCATTGTCGATGTCGATGTCGATGTAACATATCATGTAACACTAGCTTCCATCCAATGCTTTTTGATTTCTCATATGTCATTTTCTGAATGCTTCCTCCCAGCTTGCTCAATGTCTTAAACCCTAAAATCATGGGCATCCTAAGTCTTAATTAGAATTGTTCTGAAAATAAGAAAATTGTTATTAATGTTTGATATTAATAAACAATTTCAAATAATATTAATGTCGTACACAAATGGTCCTAGAACTTCTAATCTCTTTGTACAAAATTTTCAGCTCTTGCATATTGGCCTGGATGGATGAATCATGATGATCAAAGAATAAAGACTAACAACCCACATTTGGTGGTACGTAGAGAGTCCACTATCCACAGCATCCACCCTTTTCAGCAGTGTTTGCATCCTGGTTAGGAACAAGTATCGCGGTTCCTTTCAGCGATGCTGATTTATCGTAATCACCGTCAGCACTAAGAGATTTCTTGCTTATAATCCTATAGATTTCCGTTAAAGCTGTTAGAAATGCGCTTTCAACATTCGTGGCCTCGAGTGCTGATGTCTCCATGAAGCATAGATTTTCTCTTTCTGCAAATTCTTGAGCATCTTCAACTGGTACTGCTCTAAGACTTGCCAAATCACATTTGTTTCCGATAAGCATGATGACAATATTTTTATCAGCATGCCCCCTCAGTTCTTCCAGCCATCTGGTCATGTGATCAAACGACTGGCGTTTCGTCATGTCATACACTAACATTGCACCAACTGCTCCTCTGTAATATGCGCTTGTCACTGCTCGGTATCTGACAAGTGGAGTTATGAATGCCATCAATATAACATATATACTCATATGATCAATGACAAAGTCTGTAGATGTTGTAACACTAGGATTGCAATTGGACTACTAAACCATGAGGTTGATCCTTGGACACATGTAGTACAAGAAAATCAGTTTCATAGTATGCCGTATTATGTCTAATAAGACATATTTATAGGACCAAACAAGTGTGTATCCTATATGAATGTGACAATAAGTTGAAGTTTTTTTAGGATGATATTGAAATAAAGCATCCTATTAGTCTTTTTATATGGCATTATTTGAAAATGTCTTAAAAAACAAATGTCCTATAAAAAGATGTATTCATAATGACACTTCGTAAAATGTACTATAGAAAAACTAATTGGACACTTTCTTTCAGAAGTGTGATAAAAAAAACTTGTTAGGATTTGCAAATACGTTCCAACATCTTGTTATAACACCTTTATATAAAGCGTACATTTGTTTGGTCCTATAAATTAAGTCCTAAAAAACAATCTGATAGGACCGTTAACCATTTTTAACGTCTATATAGTGTCATCTGTTGTAGTGAAGATTTTCTAAGATAGTTAATCCAACAGTAGAACGGTAGTTATAACTAATCCAATTACCTTGCAGGAGTTAGCAGTTGCCAAAAATAAAGGACTCCATTGTATTTTTAAGTTCTTAACTTTTATGAGCTCATTTTGCTGGAGGCAATCATCTGAGGTTTTATGAAAATAACAAGTAGTACGGGTGAAGAAGAAGGATTCAAAACTTAAGCGGATCTCAGAGTGCTGCCACAATTGATCCCAATCGAAGGCATATTTACATCAGAAAATATTACACAGATATAACTATATAACTGTCGACTGTCGAGGTTTATGTTACTGTCAATGACAAAGTTCTACTTGTCGAGATCGATTAATATTAATGCAAAATTAGAAAGTTGGAGGAAGTTTTAGAATCAGAGATGGAGCACTGGAGGTGGTCTCAAAACTTATTCAGAAGCTTTTTGGCCACCCCATATCTTTGAAAAGCTCTTGCAACAAAAAGACATACTTTTGCTTGTAAACGAACAAGACTTCAATAAGCCATTTCACTTAGCCACCTAATTAGTGGGTCTCTATTTGAAAAGCCTCTCATGAAAAACCATACAATTGTGAATGCTCTTATGATTGAAGAACACTACAAGTACATAGTAGATCAGACTGTTTACATAGGTTGTCAGACAGTGAAAAAAGGTGTAGTTCAAGATAACGAAAACCCTCAAAATATGGCTTGAATCACAAAACATGCCAATGAGCGAAACTCCAGAAGAGAATAGGATAAGGGAATATTAAACGGTGGTATCTGTTTCAAATGGCTGCTAAGGAATTGAGAACCATCCATTCTGGTGACTGAAAGAGAAATTATTCCCAAATAAAACAGTAGTAAGACTGCATAAAAACACATCCAAACAGCATAAATTTTCCAGAACTGGAGCCCATGTTCATTTTGAGAGTGGAAGAAATAGAAATATTTGAAGGAAACTTAATAACTAAATCAAAAGTGACCAACAATGACTCAATCAAACGAATGGTATTTGAAACCCATCTGTTACAGATTATATACTGTGTTGTTCAATCATTATATCACCTTAAAATCACAGATATTATCTTAAAAATAGAGTAGGCTTCAATCATAAAGTGTAGGAGCACCTAGACTACTACTAAATCAAGCCTGCAAATGCATATAAAACGGTTATAGTTCTGGGAAGTGTATCCAATATATGCAAACAACATATCAGTTTTCAAACTATGTCTATAATGGATATATATATATATATATATATATATATATGAGGGTGTGTGTTTGTGTTTGTGTTTGTGTTAAACACCATAACAATTAACAAGTTCTATGAATTGAAGAGTTATAAAGTCTACTTCTCTTTAGGTTTAACTTCATACCATCAATACATTGTTGAATGATACAATGGTTGACATAATACAATCAATTAAAACCTGGCATCTTCCAGATGATTGGAGATGGTATAAATCAAAAGGGGGGGAAAGGGACGAACCTCTCTTGACCAGCAGTATCCCAAATCTGGGCCTTCACCATCTTCTGATCAATAAGCATAGATTTAGTCTGAAATTCAACCCCGATCGTAGCTTTTGAATCGACACTAAATTCATTCTTGGTAAAACGCGCAAGGAGCTGAGATTTTCCAACAGCCGAGTCTCCGATCAATACAACCTTGAATACATAATCGATCTTTGCATTTAAATCTCCATACGTATTCGACATCCTCAAACCCCGTCAAATACAATAACCTATTCAACCAATTCCTAGACCTCGAGCCACCCCTGATGAAATCAAAATATCTTTTCCTTCAATCAATCATGTGGAAATCTTTTGGACTGTGATCCAAAAGATTTTTCTTAAATTCTGTTGCGCAGATGAAGATGAAATCGGTCATATGTGATGGATATCATTCCAAGAAATGTGAAGAATTACAAGTTAGAAATGCGATCCAGGGTTAGGGTTTGTGGGAATTTGGGCATGGCGATTCTTCCTTGTTTTGATCCAAGGCAGTTGGAACTTGGAAGGAAGGGGATGAGAGAGAAACGGCTTGTTCAGGCCCATTAACGGTTTTTCAAAGCAATTATATAATTAATATAAAAATTGAGTCAAATAGCGATTCGGCTTGGTATCCTATTTATTCCTCTCCTAACATCCATATTCGCAAGCAATCGGTATTTACCTAAATTTCACTATGTCTATAATATTACGGACCTGATTAAAAGACAAAAAAAATCAAATTCTACCGAATCAGCAAGGGACACTCTTTCACAGATTTCAATATCTTGTACTGGTTTGTCTTGTTTTTCTAATCTTGATAAATGGTCAGCACTTGATTATCCACACTCTTTCTATCAATAATTTTCAAATCAATCTCTTGCAAAAACAAAACTCACCTTATAAACCTAGGTTTTGCATCTTTTTTTGGAAATAAGATACTTGATGACAGCAAGATCAGTATGAACAATGACTTTGGTGTTAGAAATTCTGGTTTTCAATTGCTTGAATTCCACTAAAAGTCGTGTATCACTTTTAGATTGAAGTATTTCAATAGTACAATCGAAACTTTAATAGGATAAAATTCAGTGGTTTTCCTGAACAGAGAGTTTTTCATGTTATGAAATCTGTGTACCGAAAATCAAATTACGAAATCGTAGTTTTTCCCTCAAACGATCGAAAACTGTCATATGGTAGTTAAAAAACCGGGTTTTCAAAACAAAGTCAAAATCGGGTTTAAAATTTCAAATTCGGATTTTAAAAGTCAGGGGCTACCTCCCCTTGGACCCTGTCACCAAGGGCGCTGCCCCCGGACCCCCATATTTGGCGGCTACGCCCCTAAATCAAAATAAACTCAAACAAGTATACACTCCGCACTTTCCTTACTTGTTCGATATTTATCATGATTGCATTGGTCAACAAATTAATCTCATTACACTTAAATGATATTACTGATACAAATCACTAACATTTGGTTCCCATCAAGTATGATCTAATTTTTCAAAAAAAAAAACCGCAACTAATAATTCTTTTTCAGTGATGGTGTAATTGATTTGAGCATCATTAAAATTCTTGCTTGCATAATAAACAGGATGGAAAATCTTGTCTTTCTATTGACCTAAAACAGCTCCAACTACCCAGTCATTAGCATCACACATTATTTCAAAGGTTTGGACCAATTAGGTGTTATCACTACAAGAACAGTGACCAATTCTTCTTTTAAATTGTTGAAAGTTTTTCTTATTATCGGTGTCAAACCGGGTGCAATCACTTACACAATTTGACATATATGAACATGAGGTGCAAGAATGGTGCTTATATAAAGATTTGGGAGCAAATTTTTAACCAATGACTCGGTAACTTCACATTTACATGTATGAACAGCAGGTGAGATCACTAACAGAAACCGGTATTCATATGATATGGGTCATTAACATGAACGTATACAACTGTGAACATGATGAAGCCACATAGGTAGAGAATGTCGTTGAAAATATATGAACACATAACCCCCATCATACGAACACCAGGTCAACACTTACATAAATTAACATATATGAACACCAGGTACAAACACTTAGGGGCTGTTTGGCAGTTGCTGAATGGTTTAGTGTAGAATGATTAAGTGGTCAGGATGATTAAGAGACTCTGTATGATTTAGTGTCAGATAGAAAAAGGTTGTTTGGAAACTGTTCTGAATGAACAGTCTGAATGGCATAAAATTACCATTTTACCCCCAGTCTTATGTTTAATGAAAATTAACGTTTGACAATAGTTCTGACGGAAATTTCTAAATGGAAAATAGAAAATTATTAATGGTCCAAGCCAATACATAATATTATATCAATTCAAACAAGCATGACAATATTTGTTCAAGTTTTGGCATAACAAAACATCACATGAAACACAACTTCAAACCCAATATTTTGATTACAACATCTAATTTGAAGCATTTAACACCAGTTGATTTGCAATCTCATTACGCAAATTAGTCATGTACTCACTGTCTTGGGGACCCCAAGGTGTTGCATTTATCTCTTCTTCCTCGCCTCTATCAATTTGTTCTTGTGTTTCAGTAATGCACATGGGATTATTGTCGTAATCCATGAATAATTGATCTTGCATGTTGCATCTTCTTTTAAAGTTGTGGATCGCGAAACGAGCAATTACAATGTTTCTTTGTATGCGAAAAGGATAAGGGGCCATTTGCTTCAAAATTGGGAATCTTGCTTTCAATACACCAAAAGCACGTTCGATAACATTTCTGAGTTGTGCGTGGGCATGATTGAATCTTTCTTCTTTGGTCAAGGCACGTCGACGACGAAAATCAGCTAGCCAATATCTTGTATTGCGATATGGAGTCAAAAATCCACGCGTGTTGGCATATGCAGCATCACAAAGATAATATTTTTCTACATTTAACATGTAAGAAAAWTTTATTGTTAAGTAAAATGTATAAGAAATAAATTATATTCAATATTAAGGAAAAATTCTAAATACCTGGTGTAGGAAATGGAAAACCAGAAGTTGGATTCAATGCAACTTCTCTTAAAACTCTAGCATCATGTGCTATGCCCTCCCATCCAGCCCAAACATAAGTGAATACCATATTAAAATCACAAATCGCTAAAACGTTTTGATAACATTCACCTCTTCCTCTTCCCTTATAACGAGCTTGTTGATCGACAGGCACAACTGCATGTATGAGAGTCACATCTAACGCACCTATCGCCCCCTTTATTAAAAAAGTATAAACTATAAGAAACTTTTTTTAACTACGTTTTGATTTTGCAAATTATATAAACGAATACATACCGGAAATATGCTTATAAGATTTCTTTGTCGATCTGACATGTTGGAGGTTTCTTCATTGGGCATTGGTCCTACAACTTCTCTAGCAAATTCCATCATTGCTCGTAGTACTTGACGGAAATATGTATGGATAGTTTCTGTTGAGTGTTGAAATCTTCTTTTAATCATTCTATAACGTTCATTGTGACATATAATTGTTAAAAAAATTGTCATCTTCTCCTCAATAATTGCATTCCTACTATTTTGCAACCAATTCTTTTGTTTCAAATGGTTGCATAGTAGTATATAAGCATCACGAGAAAGGCGCATCAACTCAAGGCATTGTGTATTTGAGCCATTTAATAGTTCTAGAGTATACGAATGGCCGGACAACAATGAAGTGTTATCTCTTATCCTTTTGATTCTTGATGTAGCTTTTCGTTTCAAATACAACCAAAAAAGTAACAAAAGCAACAATTCTTCCTCAACATCCATAGAGAACCTTGCAAATAAGAATAATTACAAAACATGACTGAAAGGTTAATTTGCGTGCTCAAAGATAAATCTCCATTCAAAAGTTAACATCATTCAAAAGTTACAACATTCAAAAGTTATGTCATACAAAAGTCGTGTTCAAAAGCAAAACATCATTCAAAAGGTAGCATCATATCAAAAGACAATATGTTCAAAAGCCTAATATGTTCTGACTACACGATCCCGTACTTTTGTCCAATCATTCTAACCCAACCCTCACAACCTTTCGGCTTTAAACACAACCATACTTTCCTATAATCGGCACGCTCACTGAAGATAAAAGTAGCTACATGGTACAACGGGTGATCTGTTCCCCATCCAAGTTCATCCAACTTTGCCAAGCAAGCAGGCACATCGTTCGTATATTTTTCCATAATTGCTTTCACAGCCTTAGAGATATCTTCTTCAACTTGTGAGTTGCTTGATTGTTTACCTTTTCACTTTTTAGTTGCTTGTGTACTTGGACAAGAATCACACTCTTGTCCTAAAGTTGGGGTCGGGATTTGTTGAGTATTAGGAACTACCTCAACATCTTCACTCGAGTGATCAGAAAGTGGGTCGGAAATGTCAGGAATACTAGAATGTGGCCCATGACTTTCAATTCCCGTTACTTGAACACCATCAAATAGTTGAATACAAAGATCGGGGAAAATCAAATAGTTATAAATATACCAAATAAAAAAGAATATAAAATTATAAAAATATAAAATTATGAAAATACCTCAATTTCTATTTGCCATTCTTCATCAGTTAAATTAAACGTGTTGGTTGTTGGGTCATACATGTTTCCTGTTTTGTTTTTCAGCCTCATCCATGCATTGTATTTGGCTTTCAAATAATCATAATGGTTTTTCATTTGTTTTTGTTCTACGACAAAGTTATGTTTGTTTTTAAGCGTCTCCGCGACATTCTTCCATGAACGCGGCTTAAGATTGGTGCCTTCTCGTCCATGTACAACGACCTCTTGTATACATGCTTCAAGAAATGTTCGCACCACACACTCTTTTTTCCAGTTTATTCTACGTCTCTTTGGTTGTGAACTCTCATTGACTGTGTCCATACCTTACAGATGATGACATATAACAAATCAAGATTGAAATCCTAAAATAAAATAACATTACTCTCATTGTTGCAGAAAAAGAAGTCTGCTTAAAAATCTAAAATAAAATTAAAGATGAAGTTAATGTACATGATCCAATACATATGAACAATATGACCATTCAACACCCAAAGTTCTAAATTGGCAGCCTGGTTGGAAGATGAGGTTTACACCAAGAGGGAATTGTGAGGAGAGGTTGAGGTGGGCCAAGACTGACAAAAAGATAAGCAATTGAGGGTGATTTGCATGAGAAGATTGATTTTGATTGGAAAAAGCTACTGCACAAGAAGGTGTGTTTTAAACTTGAGTGGGTATTTTCTTTTAGCTTATATATGTCTCTAACTAATAGGACCAGTAGTCACTTTTGATTCAATTTTCATATACATCAAATTAGCAAGTCATTGATCCGAAGTAATTATGTTTGCCATGAAAGTCAAGCAGTACTCTCTCCGTTCCCGAAACAGCCTAGATTACGACTTACAAGGAAGGAAGTGCAGCCATAAACAGCGAGAATGGTGTATTAGGAGAGGATGATTGGTACATAATCCGGTAGAATGAGATCTTTAGGAATGAAAGGATGAATCGATTCCGATGCCTAAATTTCGGCCATCTTTCCACAGCAGAAACTGAGAACACCTCCTCAGCAAAAAGTCAACTTCGGAAGGTCTCCGATTCAGACGGCTAGTTTGTGAGTGTCCCCCCTGGTTATGTGCAGATTTAATGGTACCTTTAGTTCGTCCATGAGGCTAAGGGGCTGTTTAACATGGTGTTAAATCAACTAGCATATAGGAAGGGAATAGGCAGCAATCAACAGTTTCATGCATCCAAATACTTGTCTCTGTGTTCCTTCTTTCACCATAGCCAACTAGTTAGTGTTTTGACATGGTATCTCAATTATTTTTGCCTTAGAATTTTGAGTACTTATTCATGCCATCTAGTAATTTAGAAGTCATGTTAGAAACCATGTTCTGGTGGGAATTTGAAGAATTTGTTGAAAGAAATTGGTGGTTTGGATTTTGGTGAAGATGTTAAGTTTGTGCCCACCAAGTTTTTGATTAAATTCCAAAGAGAAAAAGGAGTTGTTAATAATGTTACTTTTGATGGTTCAAGAATAGTAATGAGATTTGGGAATAGAAAGCCTCAGCTTGCTTTGGTGAGTATTTTGATAGTAAATTTTTGAGTTCTTTTTATTGATTTTGGAAGTCCCATTTTGGCTAATTTGTGTTTTATTGAGTTAAGCTTATTGGAAGCAATCTTGTTCTTAATAGCCTTCCAATTCGGGTTTATTTTCGGTTTCAGTTAGCTTTTATTAGCTTCTATTTTAGGTTTTTGCAGATTTGTTGGTTGATCCACAGCAGATAATGATGGTCACAGTTGCAGTTGCTTTGAGGGTAGTTGGCTATGAATTGGAGGTGCTCTCTTAATCTTGGCTGTTTCATTAAGATTGGGGATGCTTTTCTTTTATGAATTATATACACGACGAAATATATAAAAGATGCATAGATGACACCAAAGCAAAACATAAAACAAACAAGAGGCCGATAAGCAAAACAAGATGACACCAAAGCAAAACTGACCATTGTGATATCAAATAAGAAAAATATTACATTGATACAGAAGGGGGAAAATAGCAAATTGCTCAGATTCTATTTTTCTTATCTTTGGTGTTTTCTAGGGTTTATGATTTAGAAGAAGGGTTGAGACCGATAAGCAACAATGTAGGGAGCAAAGTTATGGAATTGAGAGGTTACCTGTGAATCGATCGTGACTGAAGAAGGCGAGAATGGTGACTGATGAAGAAGAAGAGAATGGTGAACGACGGCCGATTGATAGAACAGAGGGTTGCTGCCGATTCCTATAGCCGACCGAGAAGAAGAGAAGAGTGTCGCTTGGAGAAATCAAGAAACCCAGGAACGATGATTAGAGAAAAGGGAGGGCAAACATGGAAAAATATGAAGTCTGAATCGTATGGAGGGCGTACGGGTGAAGGAGCGATTAAGATGTAAAGTTTTCATTCAGACTTTTTTTAAAACCTATCCAAACAAGAAAAAGTCTGACCGAATCAGACTCTTACCTCTTAATGGTATCATTAAGAGGTAAACAAACAGCCCCTTACACAAATATAAAGATTTGGGATTAACCTTCAAAAATGACACTTGTGTTCATATGACACAAAAATCTGTTCATGAAGTGTTAATATATACTCAAATAAGAGTGGTAACACGAACACAATGGTTCATGATTCATAAAAGTTGGTTATATGACCATATGAAAATGGGTCGTACATGGAATTCGATTTGAACATGTGAATTAGGTACGTATTGATAATTAAAAAAAACTAACAACACAATATGAACTACAAAAAACACAACACATCACAATGAACATAATTTCGATTAAAACGAGAACAATAAAATATTAATCCATTACCAAGACATTCGATTTGGTTATTTTCTTCACTTCCCGAACTCGAACTTCGATTGTCACCATAAACCATTTTAATCTTCTCAATGTTGTTGAGTTCTTTTCCAATGCGTTTATCCATAATAGTTTGAATGATACTGAAGATTTTACTAACGTGTTTCCTTCACGAATCACAAACTCATAAATCAATAAAAATGGAAGATCAATATTAAAATATATATATATATATATATATATATATCATTTTTTAAAAATGCATATTTTGTAACTCGCAGTTAATGATATGAGAGTTATATAAAAAATGAAATTACTCGACTATTCTTGAAATTAAATTGTAAGGTAAATAAAAACCTAATAGAAACATGAATTGTGATTAATTAAAATGATTTATAAAGTTAATACAAAAACTTTGGTTAACATTTAATCTTCTATTTGTATAAAAGAATTATATAATAGAAAAGTTGCAAGACAAATGGCAGGGGCCCTCCTTATTAAGAAATGGCCTTATATGCATGTATACGTTGGTATCAAAATGATTTTCTTTTCCAAAAAAAGACGTTTCCTAACATCATGTTTTTTTCCCTTTTTAAGTGAGTGGTGCGACCGCCATTGCAAGTGGATTCACGGTCCACCCGTGATTACCAATAATTTTGACCATTTTAAAATACAACTTTAATTCTATTTAATTTAAATAAAAATGAGTTTTATATATTAAAAAAAGTATTTATTTCTTGTTTTTTGATGTTTTACAAAAATACCCTTCTACGTATAGATTCGAATTTTGTATATGTCTTCTCATCGACTTTACAATGTAACATATATTTGTTTTAAATATCAAGGCTGATTCCATTTGAAAAAAGTATCGACTTTTTGTCAATAATTGTGATTTTGACGACCTTTAATTCATCTTAATGATACAACCGTTAAAAGAAATTCCTAAATCCGTCGGTAATAAAACGTATAAAAAGATTCAACTTTGTTAAGTGACTTAGGGGCCGTTTACCAAATGCTTACTTGGGTAAGTGCTTACCAAGTTACATTACCTTATCGGATGAACATGAAAAAAACCATGAATCTTACATGGTAAAAGCGAGGCAAGGACCTAGAGTCTTACCCGCTAAGTGAGGGCAATGACTCTCACCACGGTCAGCTCTTACCGAGTAATTCGTCGCATAGAAAGTCATTTTCTGTTGACTAAAATCTTACCCGATAAGTAAATGATGGCGTTGAATTTTACCGCTAGGTGCTTACCGAGTAAGTGTTTGGTAAACGGCTCCTTAACTTCTAAGTCTTAACCCAAACGTCACCAATTCAAAATCCTTATAGTTTACTTCAAGTACTATGAAATTAATCGAAATGCATGCAGCCAATGATTATTAGAAATATGTATTGATAATAATTTTTCGTTCCTATGGTTTGTTAAAAATTACGATTTTCGTTCTTGTTGTTTAGAAATTACAGTTTTCATACCCATGGTTTGTAATTTGTTGTTATTTTCATCTCTGAACTAATTCTTACATTTTTAAGAATAAGGGACCAAAATAGTAAAGAACTGTAAACCACAAAGACAGAAACAACAATAAATTATAAATCATAAGAACGAAAATAGCAATGATTTACAACCCATAGGAACGGAAACCATAACATCTAAACCACAAGGACGAAAACCACAATTTTTTAACAAACCACAGGGATGAAAAACATAATTTACTCAAAAATCAATGCTATTACATATACTGTACAACCGATTGTAAGTTTTTATTATTTCTAACTTAGACTTGGGATCACATAAGATCAACCTGTTTTCATGAGAATCGTGAGATCACTTTTTTACACTTGAAATTTCACAGTAAATGACTGTGAAGGTAACCTTCACGGTGTTTTTGTTGTGAAGGTTCAAATTCTTTTTACCATCACAATGTTTTGTTCTGAAGTTTCTGAGTGTAAAAATATGGTCACATGGGTCTCACGAAAACAGGTTTGTCTCACGTGAACCCAACCCTTCTAACGTATATCTTATAATTTTATGTCTTGAACCAGACGTAACAGCTAATAGATGCTTACGTTCTTTCGGATGATAAACCATACAAAAGCAAATATACGACCAACATAAAAACGTTCTTTTCTTGATACCAAACAAGTCGATCTCGATGCATTCAGCTCTAACCCGACTTCACGGAGCATCGACAGTTTGCACGACAATCCTTCAACGTCTGCAAAATCAACGGAAAAGTGAATATTGAACGATAACAAAAAGGGTATAACGCTAGCCGAGTGAAGAGGGATTCAAAACGAAACCCCCTACTATATTCACATTCGCACGTTAACATCAACACCGCTCTTTTACATTTTCAATGCACGAATGACCCTATTTTGACCCAATGAAACATGGTCAGATACCAAAAAGGTCATTGGTCCAAAGGTATTCAATTTATTGATAGGGCCCAACATTGACCTCTTGTCAGGAGGGTCCTACCAATAATTCAGATACCATTGGACTAATGACCTTTTGGTATCTGGCCATGAAGGTCAAAGGTTCAAATCTCAGCAAATGTGAGAAGTTTTCCGTGAGTATTAGTCGTATTTATACAATATATACTTCAGAAAAAAAGACGCACGGCCAGATAAGTCGACAAAGGTTGTTCCTTTGATACCTTGTACTGTTCTTGAAGATCTTTGATGTAATCAACAGCTAAATCCAACATGTCTGATGTGTTTGTTTGCTACGCGATAACAGAAACAACATTTAGATTCGAGTTTCCAAAAGTTATCAAGATTCAAAGGGTAGCGTAGATACACATATCGAAAAAGTCAATACCTTGTCCATGTGCGGGACTAGTTCTTGTAGTTTCCTCATTCTTTCACTTATTCGTGTTCTTCGAACCTAAAGAAATCATAGCGATCATGATCTAACGGGATGATGATTGATAAAAGGAACTATCTACGTGCGAATCAAACATAGCCCAAAGTTCTCGAGTATGAATGTTCTTTTGACCGAAAAGCAAAAAACTAGAGATCTAGTAAAATTACCCTCTCGGCAATGCTTCTTGGATGCGTGGCACATCCTCGTTTTGCACGAATCTTGCACGGAACGGAATCTTGAAAATGCAGCAGCTTTTCAACAGCAGCGATTTCTCCCGAGGTTTTGGGCAAACTCAAGTGGTGTGACAACATAGGTGGATGATTGCCCAGATTTTCGCCATTCTATAAATGAGTAAAGATTTAAAGCGGTTTAAGTAAATGTAAATCGGGGGTTGTTTACTAAACACTTACTGCTTTCATCTCGGTCAATGAACACTTATTGCCTCTTATAGGGTAAGTGTTCTGTCAGAGATGATGGCCCTTACCAACAATCTTATTATGGCATTTTGCTGACTAGAAATCTTAACCGTTAAGTGAGGATGGTTACTCTTACAATAAATGCTTACTCACGATCCCTCGAATCATATTATCAGTGATCAAGATGGGTTCGTATAAGCAATACCTGATGATCAAGATCTCTTTTGAGGTCAGTGAAGTTGTCAATGAACTGTGAAGGCTCGTGTTCCCATGAACCGAAAGGGTAATCAGGCGAGTCGTTAAGGACTCCTGGATCAATGGTGTCGGGCTCAACTTCGGAGATCCGTGGCAACATTCCTAAAGAGGTAACCCCAGATGAAGAACTCAGTTGTCTCTTTAATCTGCTGGAAGATGGACTTAGATCACCATTGTTGCCAACATTTCCCAATCTGTAACTTCCAACTGAACCTCTGATTCCACCATAGCCTGCATATTTTTGCTGAAGAACATTCAGTTATTCAAATTCACATCTTTTTCGATTTTGGGTTCTTGATTTCGTAAGCACCCGAAAACCCAGATGAAATGAATGGAAATGTGAAGCATAACTTGAGATAATCATGGATTAAAGCATAAATTTTCAAGGATTTAGACTTTCAAAGGTCAAAATCGATCACGGAGACTTCAATTTGAATCAAGATTCCAAAATCAAGAGCATATTGAAATCATAATTGGAAGGCATACAAATTTTATAAAGGGGATAAACATTCAATTTAGTAATTACACAGATCAAAAGACAAATCCCAAATATAGAACATTTTTTCCCAACAGCTATTACCATAAATGGTAAAAAAATCCCAAACATGACGTCCAACTTGAATACGAATTTAGAATCAAGAAACGGATCAAAGTTCAATCCATTCACATACACAAGAACGATTTCAGAACATACCCAGAAAAATAAATCGAATTAATGGAAGTAAGAAGAGATGAAGAACATTTAACAGTACCATTTGGGTGATTGAGATTAGAGAATAAACCAGCAGGAGAGCTATTTTGTCTCAAAAGACTTGAACCCATTTTAGATTGATGGCCCAAATTATCAGAAGCCATAGCCATGGAAGAGCTCAACCCCCTGTTATATGGCAATTGAGAATTCAACGAGAAACCAGTCATCAAATTAGGTTTAAGATCCACCTCTTCTTGTAGATCTTGAAAACTCTGAGAAATCAAATTGTAGTTCAACCCATCATTTACATCTCTGGTTTTTTCAATATCATTAACGAAACTCTGAAGAACTGAGCTAGGAGCAGACCGAAATCTGAGCAACCCATTATTGTTCTGATTACTCATATCAAAATTCATCAAAAAAACCCACTCTGAAAAGATCGAAAAACAAATAAAAACAAAAAGTCTCAGCGAGTTCCAATTGGGGTGCCGAACCCCCTTCAATATCGAAGACAATATAGAGCTGGAATCAATGGATAATGCTTGAGAATCATCACATCACCATGAGTTCCTTTCACCTTTTGTTTTCTTGAATCATTATCAGAGAATTAAAAACTGCTTGGTTTGTAAGCTTTGTACGTATTTTGAAACTTGTGGGTGAAGGTAGCTATGGATATTTAAAAAATTTAGGGTTTTCTGTGGGGATTCTTGTGAGCAGATCTGATGAGCTTGATTCGTGTGTTCTGTTGCTAAGGAACTAAGCTAAGCAGAAGCTATTAATGATAACGATGACTGGTGGACTATCTTGTAATTTCCTTCAACTTCAGGGGTATTCTTGGAACTTCAGTTACTCCCTACAAACACTCTGAACCTTTTTATTTAAATAGACTTTTTATTACTTGCAAAATTGCAATATACGATTTCATTGCAACGATACCTAAATAAAAAATTAATTTTTTTTTAATCATCTACGATTTTGGTCATTCTGTCTAATGGTTATTTAGAGGTCGTTTATCAAATATTTACCTGATAAATATTTATCAATAAATTTTAACACTATTATTTACTTATCGGATAAGATTTTAGTCTACTAAAGCGACATCGCATGCAATAATTTACCCGGTGAATGCTTATTGTGGTAAGAGTCGTCACCCTCACTTATCGGGTAAGACTATTGGTTCTTGTCTCACTCTTATCACGTAAGATTCTTAGTGGTTGTTTACCAAATTTTTTATTAAGTTCTGTATGAATAAATTTGTCTGTATGGATACATGGGTGTTGTTGTTTACTTTTTTTATCTGAACCAACAATCTGAATAACATAAATAACCGATTTACCCCCCAATATTAATTATTTGAATATCAAAACAAAAAATCATAAATAGGCCGATGATGGGGTATCTCATATGGGAAGGAGGCGGTGCTTTAAATAAGGGGTAGGGGTGTCATTTTTGTGGCTGAATGAGAACAACACACCATTTTTATCTGTACGAATAAGCCGTAAGTAAACAACTCAAATGAACTGTGCAAATAAGTCAAATAAACCAATAAGCTTAATTAAATCGCAAGTAAACAACTTTTTAGTGTTTACCATATTCATCCGATGAAGTAATGTGACTTGACAAACACTTACCCAGGTAAGCGTTTGGTAAACATCCCCTAAGTTTATTTGTTAAGTCTGATTCGATAAAAGGTATTTTAGTCATTTTATTATATTAAAATAAAAAAACATACTATGTTTTTAATTTTAAATTGAAAAAAAAAAGGAAAAACGAAAGGTAGAGTATCTTTTTTTTTTAAATTAAAAATTTAAAAATATAATATATTTTTTTAATGTAATATAAAAATAAAAAAATTGTGAAAATAACTAAAATATGGCTAAAATTAAAAAATGGTTGAAAGTGTTGGGAATTGACAAATGTGAGGACCAAATTCAAGTTTTTGAAGCAAAGTACGATATATATGTTGAAAATTACAAACATTAGGGACCAAAATTGAACTTCACTCTTACTTTAATTTGTCTTAAAATAAATGTTTACTTACAAATATATGTATTTGATTTACAAAAATAATACACATTTATCATGTATTTAAACATGTTTATCAGTTAATTTTATATAGTTCAAACTTAGAATATTAAAAAATTATGCATATACAAAAATAACTTGTAAACTTAACTATAAGAAATTATACATTAATTAACAATACGAAATCTAAGAGTTTTCATGAAGTATAGTTTACTTATAGAAAAGAACTGATTTTAAGCTGCAACTTCTTTTATTTTATTTTCATCAAGAATATTTTAAATATTTTCAAGATACTGTTTATTTTGATTAATTCAAAGTGTTCATGATAAAGACGCAAAGTCATGATATTCCCATCACTAGTTGTGTCATTCCCTTGACCTAGATTCATTGGCATTCGTCGACGTAACTCACCTCACTCGTATATGTTAAAATGAATCACCTAGTCTTCGGTTTCTTAAATATAAAATTTCATGTACTAAATAAATTAGAGATGTATGTTGGGCTACTGAATGATGAAAATTTGGTAAAAACGACCTAAATTGTCAGAGTACGTTCTTATTTTTAAGTATTAATATCACTATCTTCATTATGGTAAGGGTAATTATGTAATTTTCATCTTTTTTTAGAGAAAGTCGTTTATCGAATAATATTAGTATTGATAATAACAATTCATGATGTTTTTGCAATATTGAATCAAAACGTTTGTTCGAAGAATATCTCTCTCCCCATCCTCATCCAGGTCGATCAATCATCATCTTGATTTAGGGTTCATAATTTTAGATAAGTTTTCCCTTTGATTCTCTTTGTAAAGAGGTTAAATGGATAGTGTCTGGGCGGGGTGGAACTCCAATGCACCATATCAAGCGGAGGCTGTATACATCCCCCTTTAGTGGAAACACCTCCTACAACGAAAACGTCCCCTTGAGCGAAGGCTCGATTGAATGTTGTTGATCAAAACTCTCTTATTGATTTGATGATTATCCTCCATACTTAGTGAAAATACTTCGTTTTATTTCTGTTCAGTTTCAACGATCATCTTTGAATCCATTCAATGATCTCTGAACCCGTGATGTAAACATTCCTAAGAACGAGTATTCCCCCAAAGACAAAACTCACACCAAAGAAACCTTCAGCGACGTCGAAGATAGAGCTGAAGAAAGAGACAATCTATTCGTGATTTGAAGGGAAATTCAGTGATAACAAGATAGTCTACAACAAATTGTGAAATCCAATCAAGATTCAGTGATAGTTGAAATGTCCTCAACGACTCCTTACTATCATTAACCAAAATAGTCTTGCTCAACAAGATTAGTTTTTGTCTTTTCTTTCGCACAAAAGGACAGCCCCCTTGCTTTACACAGAAAGGTACATGTACGAAGCTACTTTATTTTCTTCAAACGCGAATACCAACTTTGTGAAGTCAACTGTTTATAGGAGTCCAAAAGCCTGCATATCTGAAGACAAATGACAAACTCTCCAATAAAAGTTTGTCATGTGGTTTGTACCATCTGACTTGTATTAAATGCAATGTGTATAAATAACTTAGAAGACTCCCTTCTTAGTTACGCCTTCTTCTTCCTTTAAACCATCTTCTCTCTTATTCTTATCTTTTTTTTTGTGCATCTTCTGTGTGATTCTTAGATTGTTTAAATTAGGTCATAACCTTATCTTTTTCCGCAACAATCTGTAAAATTTGTATTGATCCTCTTTAATCAAAAAACGAATTTAAAAAGTAAAAATTGTGTGTTTGTATTCAACCCCCCTCCCCCTTCTACAAAATGTTAATACCTTTAAACTTTTGTAGAATCCGTTTGGTACCAACAAATGCGTTAAATCCGTGGAGATGATAGATGTTGCCTTTAATATCAAGTTAAGATATGTGGAACCTCTTAAATTAACTCTCTCTCTCTCTCTCTCTCTCTCTCTAAAAGAGCTTTTCTATAGAGACATGGAAAAGTCCAACATATATACAGGTTAGATACATTATGCGTATAGCCGATTTGAGATGCCAACAATTTAAAATTAATAAATCCATGAAGATACTTTAGTTTGTAACACGTTACATTTCAACTGAATGATTTGTGTATTTCATTGTTTCAAACTGTTAATTTTTGTTATTCCAGGGTTTCAATTACGTTGGGTTAATTAAATTGGTGATGGTCGATAAAGAGTGGGGCCTGTGCTCATGGTTGTGGTTGGAATGAAGTAAAGACAATCACGATGACAATAAGATGTTAGGAAATTACCTGATAATAATAACAATAATGAGAGTGACCATAACAAAAAAATCATGAATAATGACGACGATAATTTGTTAAAAAATGAAATTATAATTCGTGGCAACTTATTAACACAAATAAATTTACAAATAAAATATAAATCTTTATTTCTATTTAGTTATATAATAGATAATAACTTAACTATAATTCAGTTAGTATATTATAATGTTTACTCCAATCTTGTTTTCACCAACGGACGTTTTCTTTGAAAATCAATCGATAAAACTGACAATCATTGGTAATATGTCGTTGAAAGGTTGTAGGTCAAGACTTGGTGGGTAAAGAATTCACCAAAGAAGTCTTGAAAATATCATTGATGGATTTTCGAGGGCAACTTTTATTGATGGATCATCGGCGATATGTATATAAGGATTTGTGACAAACTACTGTCACCGACGAATTACTAAAAGCTATCAACCTCACCGGATTTCCAGAGGTCGTTTTTAGTAATGGATTTTCTGAAGGCCTATATTAGTGAGTGATTTTCAAAAACTCTCCGACAACCTCTATTATCAAATATTACCAACGGGCACTATTACTGATGACCTACTTGTCGATAAGTCGTCACCTATATATATATATATATATATATATATATATATATATATATATATGTGAGTGTGTGTGGGGGGGAGGTTCAAACGAGAACACCTTCATTTTGCGAGAACGCGAGAACACTTTTTTATTATGGACAATCATATGTGATACTATTATTCCATCACATATGATACACATGTGACTACTAAATCAGAGATGCGAACGATTTTATGCGATCTTGGTTGGGGGCCAAGTCATCCTTACACCATTAAGCCCCCTCACAAGATCATTATATGTGATGCTAAATCATAGACGCAAACAACCTTTGGTGCAGTCTAAGTTGTAGAACACGTCGTCCACACATCACAAGGTCCCCTTATGCGTATTGTCTTATGTGATAAAGGTGTCCTCGCATTCTCGTAAAATGGAGGTATTCTCATTTGAACCTCCACCTATATATATATATATATATATATATATATCACAATTCTTGTGTTTTTTATAAACTATACATAACATGTATATATATAGTGTTTTTTATATGATATTAAATGAACAAAATTTAATAATATTTGATTAAAACTAGTGTCTGTATAATAGCTAGGTAGGATGGAGGAGGAGAGAATCTACGAATTTACATCTTCGAAGGCATTCATTTGCAACTCCAACTTAATTGTCTTCTTCTCTAGAGTTGTTTGCTCGACTTCCATCTCAACCACACATGCTAACTGTCATGCCTCTACATCAGCCACATGTGATGCCCGATCTACATGCAATTGAGACTCGAGCTCCGACCCCCGTGCTTGTTGGTCCTCCTTCATATGTTTTAGTTATTCAAATAATTTAAAGTGTTAGATCAGACTTGAGGTTGCTTCAAGAAATGCTATGTGT